ATCTAAGGCATTTAGATAAAAATAAATATGCATGAAGGACTTTGGAGATCAGCCACAGAAGAGTTCATTGCCCGGGCTCCTTCCACAGCCACTGGAGAGAAGGGTGGGCAACACCCTATTGAGGGCCATTTATGACCAGTGGGAAAGTCACCCTTTTAGGATGCCTCCTCTTGACCACAGGGGCAACCTAGGCAACTAGTTTAGGTTGAATGACGAGTGTCTAGAAAACAAACACCAGAAGATGAATAGCACTCTCTATACTTTTAAGTGGAATGATGGTCATAGTCTTGCAGGCAAGCAAAATAAAACCGAAACGGCTCTAGAGACAGTGGGTTAAGCACTTAAGTCAACGGGCCTTTTCCTGTTCCATCACCTCCCTTCCCTCCAGGTGAGAATGAGAAGGCAGATTGAGGTCTTGGTTCAAAAGTAACATTTACAGAGAGCCACAGAGCTCAGAAATATACATTGCTATTAATCTTCACGAAAACAAGCAGCTGACTGAGGGTCGCTATTCCATTTGTGTTTTCCTCAAGGAAAAGGCTGTACTGTTACGAGAACTCCCAGCACCCCATCAAGGCAAAGTCCAGAGAAAGAGATGCCTTATCAGCTTCTCAGCTCACGGAATTAATAAAATATATTTGAAAAAAAAAAAAAAAAAAAAAAAAAAAGCAAGTCACATTAGATAACTAACATCCAATTGCCCAGAAACTTTAGAGACTGTAAGGTGTCGTCACCAGTGAAGCCAGTCTGGTTTGCAGGAGCACAGCCCCTTTACTCGAAGCTACAACCTTGACCTGAATGACCGGGGTTGAGCTGGTTCAGCTTCCAGCCCCGATTACTCGGTCATTCTTCTGAGACAGCAAACAGATGTGGACACCTGTCCAAAAAGAACAGCTTGCGACTCGTGGAGTATAGAAAATGATTTGATGAACTGTCATCAGGGCTTAATGACTTTAAGTCATCAAGTTGGATCAGACTGGAACTGGTTACCTATAGGAGTACGTATAGTTCCGACCAGGAAGCAGGATTTCTAAATTAAAAGAGAAAAAAAAAAGGAAGAGAAACCTCAGATTTATTGGACAATATAGATAAGAATTACATCACCACCAATCTTAACGTTTCAATTGCATCCAAATCTCAAAAGCCAATCCATAATAGTCTAACTTCAGCTGTAAGTTTTACTGGCAGCAAAATTACAAAGTAGCTGTTTTCTCCCCCAAATATTAGTTTTCACTTGTTATAATTACTCCATTTGGGCATTCTTACAGACCTGAGGCACAAGACACAGATCCCGTGCCGTAAACAGGCAAGATAAAGCGATTGAAGTCACGCACAAAGCTTTCTAAAGTTATTTTCTTAGTGAACCGATTCTGGTTGTAATCCGTTTGCAGTTTTGATAAAAAGGAAAAGTTTCTTCAGTCAGATTCGCTTGTGCTTATTTAATCTGTCTGCGAGGGGCTCAGGGAAACCGTAAAGCAGTATGAGAGACAGAATACAATTCACAGGCTCAAATATGTATCTTTTCCTCCCCACAAAATGTTTCCTCTGAGGAACATTACTGGATCACAGCTGGTCAAAATACTAAATCTTGATTGTCTGGCCAAAAGCCAAAATCCACAGCTACAGCTCTTTGGTATGAGAATACTTTAAAAAAAAAAAAAAAAAAACTTAAACACCATTTGATCTTTTTTTTTTTGTTGCAAACTATGACCTCATGGCAGTAAGAACGCTAAATGAAGGTGTTTAAGTTGGTTTATAGCCATCTGAAATGTTTGAAGCTCCAAGCGCAGCTCTGAGCCAATATCATGTCAACTGCGCTAAAAAGCAATAATAGTTTCTCACCTTCTTCGAGATTACTGGTTAAATAACGTACAATAGAGACAGGGCTGCAAAGGGAGGCTGCCAATATGAAATTAAGGTGAAATTGCGTCTTTTGGCAGCTAAGAAATTCTGACACACGCTTTTAAATAAAAAAAAAAAATTAAAAAAAAAAGAAATCTTCATAAATGAAGCTACCAGAATTTTCTTAACTCAAACATTAAGTTTTAGGCTCCTCTTGAATCTAGCAGTATATGAATCAAGACATACCTTCAAACCACAAATCTAAGCCTTTGATTATTTTTTGGTATTTTGGGGTATTTTTGGGTAAAGCTTTTACACGGAGGCTTAAAGTATTTTGGGGGAAAGCTTTTACACGGAGGCTTAAAAGGACATCTCCCTGACTACAGACAAGACATTCAAAAGGAGTATCTTATATTTGCCAGCATTAGATAAGCCTATTGTCTAATCTATTCACTTGGAAAAAAACAATCCCCTTCTCACTGGCCTGCTCAAGTTTGCAGTGTGCTTTTTACTGGCCATGAATAACCACAAATACTATCCCTCAAAAGTTACACCCAGTAAATAAAATTAAGCTGAAGAATAGGAGGGAAAATGAAAGAGTCTCTTGATTTAATGCAACCGTGAGCTAAAGAGGCTGGTTTGTGAAAGATAAATCGGAACACGCGAAAAGGAATGAAATGCTGTTCAAAACGTACAGACTACATGTAAATAAAGACTTGTTCTCTCTCAAAAGCTGGAATAAATTGCACACTCAACAAGAAAAGAATTTTAAAAGGAAAAACTGCATAGGGCCTTTTGCACCAGCAAAAGCTAATCTTAAAAATAAGCCGCTTTTCTGGAAGCCAGTGAGACTCCAGAACTAAAAAAAAAAAAAAAAAAAAATTGGAAACACAGAATTATTCTCAAAAGGAAACAGAAGAGATTTGGGGGACCATAACGGAGACAATCTAAATCCACAACAACTTCGGCTCATCATCTCTCACCTTAAGAGTCACCACCCAGATTTGATAGCAGAAAAATAAGTTTTTGCAGTTCCGTAAGCTCCGTAACAGCACGTGCGGAAAACAACCGACCTCTCTTGATTTCATCTACATACAGTACAAATAATATTGTGCAGTAAGGGCAAAGGGGGAAGGAAAAGTAAACACAGCAAAATATAGGTGCCAGGAGAGATAGGAAGAGGGAAGCAGAGCTTGTAGACCTGCGAGCTCACTGCAATAAATCACACGTGTTGGGATGTGAAAACACGTATTAATCATTTAAGTGTCACGCCTGAGAAACCAAACCCCCGCAAATCTCACCAGGTAGAGGGATCCAGCAGCAACGCAATTAAACCTTGATGCAAGAGGCACTGGGCTCCACAGACCTTCAAGGGGACCATGGGCTGCCCCAGAGGTCCCGGCAGAAGAAGGGAGTTCACAAAAGCCTGAAGCGGAGACTTTAAAGACAAATTTGCTCTGATAGAAGCATGAAATAGGTGGGCTCTTCTACAAAAGCTGTGGGGGCTTTTTCACAGAATCACAGAATGGTCAGGGTTGGAAGGGACCTCTGGAAATCATCTCCCCCAGCCCCCTGCCAGAGCAGGGGCACCTCCAGCAGTGGCACAGGACGGCGTCCAGGCGGGTTTGGAATGGCTCCAGAGGGGGAGACCACCACCTCTCTGGGCAGCCTGTGCCACTGCTCTGCCGCCCTCACAGGAGAGAAATCCCTCCTCAGGTTAAGATGGAACTTCCCATGGTCAATTTGTGCCCATTCCCTCTTGTCCTGTCACTGGGCACCACTGAACAAAGACTGTTCCAATCCCCCTGGCACCCTTCCTTGAAGGATTTATCAGCATTGATAAGATCCCCCCTCAGTCTTCTCTTCTCCAGACTAAAAAGCCCCAAGTCCCTCAGCCTTTCCTCATCAGAAAGATGCTCCAGTCCCCTCATCATCTTTGTAGCCCTTTGCTGGACCCTCTCCAGCAGTTCTCTGTCCTTCTTGACCCGGGGAGCGCCAAACTGGACACAGGGCTCCAGATGTGGCCTCGCTGGGGCAGAGTAGAGGGGGAGGATGACCTCCCTCACCCTGCTGGCCACACTCTTCTTGATGCCCCCCAGGATGCCATTGACCTTCTTGGCCACCGGGGCACATTTTTCTTTGTTTGTTCTGAATCTGAAGGGGTAAAAAAAAAACTATTTCGTACTCAACTCTAAACCGACACTTGTCAGAGAAAGAGGTTAAGCCTGAAATAACTACATATTTCGGTTACCCTGAATGTCTGGGGGCTTCAATTCCATTCCAGACTGCAGAGAAATACAGGTGTCTCTAGTTAAAAGCAAAAATGAGGAGGGTGCATGGCCCAGGAGTTAAAACTAGTCCTGTTCAAAGAGAAACTAAGTACAGTATTGCTTTTTACCAGCATGATGATTATTTGACAGACCTCAATTTCAGCAAAACCCAACTACAAGTGCTAAGAAAGGAAACTGAAGAGCAGGAACAACAAAACCAAACCAACCAGTCAGCGCAAGTCAACCTGTAGATAAGAAAACCCCATCGCTGCCTCACATGTTCCGGCTCTTATCCCACAAATGAAGGATGACCTGGAAATGTATGGTTTGTGGCAGACTCACCTATAGTACGCTGAAACCAAAAAATGCCATCAAATCTTCATTTTAGCAGCTGGTGGCTTTTCTGCTTGCTTAAATATATGTAATCAGAGATTATCCACGAGACAGCGGGCTCTGTCTGTGCTCAACTGCAATGCCCGATTATGAAAGTCTAGCCAGTTATCCCCTTGAGCGAGACTCCCTGTTAAGGCTCATTTCCATTTATATTATTAGGAAGTACTAAGAAGCATTGTTTAGAATCATTAGCCTTAAAAAAAAAAAAAAAGAAAGTTAAAAATGAACAACTATTCATACAAGTTTTGGAGGTGAGAAGGAAATGAGGCATAGACATTCATGGGGGAGGGAAGGAGGGAACACGATACTCCCGGAGAACTATGCTTAATATTCCTACATGTTTTGAAATATTACCCAGCCAAAAAAAAAAAAAAAAAAAAGTGTTTTGTCTTGCTAATGACTGTGTATCACCTACAGGAAAAATAAACCACCCTGGTTGCGTGATGGCAAAACATCTAAGGCGTAACTAAAGCTTCCATTATCAGTTCTTCAAAGCCAGCACATACCAGAAGAGAAGGAAGATACTTACACCTTGAAAATGATTCCCATTTAACAGAGTCATCCCACCTCTGCTTATTCAAGACTGAAGGACACAACCATGACCTGTACCCCTCCCTCTCTACTGACGAGTACGCACAAGCACTGCAGAAGTCACTGTTTAGGTATTTCGGCACTTCATTTTCAGATTTGCTTAGGGGACCACACGTCATCTTAGGATTTTTCCATCAGTGACGGATACCACGTGAAAACTCATGGCAATACTTTCCCGAGGAAAAAAGCTTTTCTTTATGCATCCCGTTAGGGGCTAAGAACAGCAGGGAGAATCTTTTTCAGCTGTGCCTGAAATTACCGACAGAATAAAACTGCACAAGGGACCAAACCTCCTTTTCTCAGGGCCCGTTTACTCCCACTGTTCTGTTGGCTGAGTGGAATTTCCATCAGGCAACGCTTTTTACGGTATTGCTCAAAGATGATGCTTTTTCTACTCCCGTATTCGTTTTCCTTTGCCAAGACCCTCCTCCCAAAATAAGCGATTTGGACAGTAGCAAAGAGTTCACATGGATCAGCATTTCTGTGCAAGGAATGAAAGATAACAAAGGCAAAGAGCGACACCGAAATAAGGGCTGGGAAGAGCTGCCGCATGACAACGTCCCATAGGATTTTCATCAGTCACCACTGAAGCAGAATTATTGTCCCAAAGGTCTGATATATTGAGCTGTGCTACACCAAGGCACTACCCCCTCTTTGCAGCCTGATGTTTTAATTTTCAAAGGGAGCAATAACAGACAGCTTGCTTTTGTTTTTGGATAAAAGGATGTGTGACCACATAGTGTTTTTACAATTAATGTGGTGCTCTTCCCATGTGCTGCATGTCGCAGGAAAAAAATAAAAAAAAGAAGAAACTTTTAGAGCTTAGCAACATTTTAGGATCCTACTAAAATACAGCAGGAAGAACACTGTTGGAGGTGTAAAATCCTTTAAAAGTTGCAGAAACGGGTACATAAGAGAAGGCTGTACACCAACAGTTTGCCCGCTGTTTTTCAACCCAGAGCTATTTATCACAGGGCAACTTTTCCGCATTCATTTCAGACAAATATTTCCATCGCTACAGAACTCCACCTTCTGCTATGCCGCCTCTATACCTGTCGCGCAGAGCATGGCAAGAGACCGCTCTGCGTTAGGCTAATAGAGGCTCTGCTTTGTCATGTCAGGAATTTGGATATAACACAAATATCACTAGAAAGCTTTAACTCCACTGCTAAAGAAGGACCAGCGCCACATCATTTCACATCAGATTTAAATACTAGTCCAAGCCTGGTTTTGAGTCTCCCCCTAAAAGCCCCAAAATATTAAGGTTTGGCTATTAGTGCTTTGTAGTTCAGTATCTTACTAGGAGTAACTAGTTTTCATTTGGAAGACTGGAAGCATTCTTTCACCTCAATTTAGTGTATGTGCCAGAATAAATTATTTCTCAGATCAACTGAAGCAGCGAGGACGTCCATATCCATCACCAGAACATCTGGCAACAAAACCTGGTGGGGTTACCTCAAGCTCGATAGTATTTTCAATACTTTGGAGTATTCAGAGGATCTGCATGGGGTCAGGTATGACACAGGGAGCACGCAAGACCTGTGCAACTTCGGAGCAGGGAGTAATTAACCTAGGGATCCTAAACTGGCAACTGTGTGGGATTCAGGCACCCAAAGAACGAAGATAAGAATGCAGGACAAAATCATAGAATGGTTTCGGTTGGAAGGGACCTTAAAGACCATCCCATACCAACCCCCCTGCCATGGGCAGGGACACCTCCCACCAGCCCATGTTGCTCCAAGCCCCGTCCAACCTGGCCTTGAACACCTCCAGGGATGGGGCAGACACAGCTTCTCGGGGCAACCTGCGCGAGGGGCTCACCACCCGCACAAGGAAAATTACTTCCCGGTATCTAAACTAAATCTCCCCTCTTCCAGTTTGAAGCCATTCCCCCTCATCCTATCACGACATGCCCTTGTAAAAAGTCCCTCCCCAGCTCTCCTGGAGCCCCTTTAGGCCCAGCCCTCCCAGCAGCTCCAGGGCCTCCTCTGGCCCCGCTCCACCAGGTCCATGTCTCTCCTGTGCTGAGGCCCCCGAGCTGGAGGCAGCACTGCAGGGGGGTCTCCCCAGAGCAGAGCGCAGCAGAGGGGCACAATCCCCCCTCGCCCTGCTGGCCACGCTGCCGGGGATGCAGCCCGGGATACGGTTGGCTTTCTGGGCTGCGAGCGCAAATAATTGCTTACAGTAAGAGGCTGCAAAAGTGCACTCAATTCAAAGACCATAAATTAAAAAAATGAGAATACACCTGCAGAATACATTTAACACCTGCAGAAATACACTTGCTAGGGAATTGCGCCTTCCGCATTTGCTAAAGTTTATCTTGGTGGGACAAGGAGAATTGGTCAAACCTCGTGCTCAAACAACTGCTGCAAGAGAAGCCTATGCTATCTTTATCTTACAGAAACTGGTCTGCTTTGCTTTTCTACACAGACAGTGGAGAGGGAGTACGGATCCTCCAGAGCAAACCAGAGCAGAAGCACTCAAGATTTCCCAGGAAGATTACTATAACCTCCAGCTACTAATTAATGCAGCTTCCCATTTAGCAACAACACTCAACACACAACTGCTATTTTCGTCACCTGCAATTATACTCGAGACAAATTGTGCTGATTATAACTCACACATTCTCATGCAGATCACCAGAATTACACATTTAAAGCAAACGGGACGTCAGGTACTGACCAGGCTGAGACCTGTTCTTCTGGGGTTGTTACGTCTTTCTACCCTCCTGGACTATCAAAATACAGAAGGTCCATCTGCTACCAAGCCTTAGATAGTGTCTTAAAAGAATGATTAATTCACCTCCTTTTAGGGAAGAACATGGCTTTTCAGACAGTCTTCCCCCGCCCTCCTCACTCCTGCAAGCAGCGTTGTGGCCCCATCACGTGGATATTCCAAAAGCAGAAGAAAACAGTAGAATATCGTGGACATCTTACATGGCCTGTATTTTGAGGAAGCCACAATTTTCCCCAAGCATGTTTAACCCTTGTGAAGAGGAGCTGCTCGTTTGCGAGAAATCCTTACATCTAATTTTTTTTTGTAGCATCCACTTTCTTTTTAATTACAAAAAAAAAAAAAATCAAATACTTACCATAACCATTAGCCCAAGCTCCATGAAGTTCTTCAGGTTAGGAAGAGTTTGCCTTAGATCTGGAGTACTCAGCCCATGTTGATATCTAAGCTACAAGAACAGAAAAACAAGAAAATTAGCGCCACTTTCCAAATATCAGATTCCAATGGATATAACATTCTGGTCAGTTAATTTACTAGGTTATCAAAGAAACTGTAGGATAATCAAGCAGTTCTAAGCGATCTATTCCCCTTAAGGAAATGTTCCATTTAATACTCATAACCTCGCATTAGCAAAACCCACCCAAGAACAGGGACAAAAATAATCAGTCAATCTGACCGTTAAACGCTATTACACTTTTTCCATTTCCCATCTGGAACAGGAGAGCAGCCTCACAGCTTAATAAAAACACATCTATTAAGTGAAAAGACCAAATTTCAACAGTGTTCTCTATTCACTGGTTCAAAATATTTATTTGTGTGCAAGTATCATCTGCCATGCTGAGTGTACCAATGCACGCTGGAATCAGTAGTGGAATTGTTACAGTAATAGCAACTAGTGAAAATACACACTGTCACACAAGTGATGTAAATCTGTGTTCCTTATACAGTTTACATCAGCATTTAAACCACTGTGATTATTCTCATAATTAAACCCAGCATTCAAATAAAAAGCCATGTTGCTAAGAGAAAGGCTTCAAACTCTGACTGACTTCAACCCAAATATTAACTCGTATGCGGGTGCAAACATACATGAAAAGATTCAATACACTGACTCCATGCAAACCACACCTTGCATTTACCCTCAGATCACAGAATGGTTTGGGTTGGAAGGGACCTTAAAGATCCCCTAGTCCCAAGCCCCTGCCATAGGCAGGGACACCTCCCACCACACCAGGTTGCTCCAAGCCCCGTCCAACCTGGCCTTGAACACCTCCAGGGATGGGGCAGCCACAGCTTCTCCGGGCAACCTGTGCTCACCGCCCTCACAGGCAACAACTTCTTCCTCATATCTCATCTCAATCTCCCCTCTTTCATTGGCCTTCTCTTCTCCAGGCTGAACCCCCCCAACTCTCCCAGCCTGTCCTCCCAGCAGAGGGGCTCCAGCCCTCCCAGCATCTCCGGGGCCTCCTCTGGCCCCGCTCCACCAGGTCCATGTCTCTCCTGTGCTGAGGCCCCCGAGCTGGAGGCAGCACTGCAGGGGGGTCTCCCCAGAGCAGAGCGCAGCAGAGGGGCACAATCCCCCCTCGCCCTGCTGGCCACGCTGCTGGGGATGCAGCCAGGATGCCGGGGGCTCGCTGGGCTGTGACTGCTCATTGCCGGCTCATGTTGAGCTTCTCATCCACCAACACCCCCAGGTCCTTCTCCTCAGGGCTGCTCTCCATCCATTCTCTGCCCAGCCTGGTTTGTGCTTGGGATTGCCCTGGCCCATGTGCAGGACCCTGCACTTGGCTTTGTTGAAATTCATGAGGTTTGCACAGAACCACCTCTCCAGCCTGTCCAGGTCCCTCTGGGTGGCATCCCTCTCCCCCAGCACGTTGACAGCTTCACACAGCTTGGAAGATCACCAAACCAACTACACATGACATAACTGCCACTGCTGGTAATTATAAACTACTTATTTAAGAAGTCCCCAAAGTAAAAATACCTCTGAAGAAAACAGCACGTGGAAGGGAGAAAGTCCATCTGTCTTTCAAGTTTGAATCTCAAAACTTCATGGAAACTTTGCAGGGAAGTTTATCCCTCGTGTGGTTAAAATAAGGCAAGGGGGAGGAGAGGAGACGGGCAGGGTAATAAATCCCTAAATTCCAATATCTTTAAGAATATCGTAATGAAGCAGTATCAACTTAAATGTGCAGTTCTCAGATGTTAACACCCTGTAGAAGTCACAGCTGATCTCCAGTATACACATACAGCAACGACACAAATTTGATACCGATAGAACTACTTGCTGAAATGTGGACCAATCCCACTCAAAGTTAAATTTGGTTGGGTTTTGAGGTTGTTTGTTTGTTTTGGGGGTTTGTTTTTGTTTTGTTTGTGTGTGGTTTGTGGGTTTTTTTTTTTTTTTTTTTTAGAATTACACACCTGTTTCCATAATTCATGACAGCAAGGTTTAGGCAAGCATCCTCTAAGTTTGAAAGATTTCTGAGTTCTCCCAAACAACGGGCCAATCGGTTTTTCACAGCAAAAGACTCTCGAAATTGGGAATGATTTCTATGCTCGTCTGAGTTTTAGAAAGAAAAATTGCTTTGGAAGAAAGTCATCCTCAGTACCGCACTATACAACAGGAGACCATTTGTTACACAGTTTATTATTTCCATATGGACACAGTCAAGTCATATGGTGGGCTTGGATTCATATTTTCTGCTACAATGACAGAACCTGGATTAAGAAAACCATACAATATAAATTACTAAACGATCACCACATTCTCCTGATGGGATTACAGTGGATTTGGTTAACCAAAGAACTAGCCTGGGGCAAAAGAAATAAAAAAAAGAGGGGGGAAAAAAATGAAAAACATTACATTTGTTCCTCCTACTACAATCAAGTGTTCATAGAATACCCCTTTTTATAGTCATCCTTAAATTCTAAGGTTTCAGAGCATGAAAAGAATTGGATTAAGGGATCTCTCTATTTCCAATAGCCAAGATCAGAGGAACGCACCCGAGACTCTCGTACCAAAACATGAGCAAAAATACTGTTTCTGCTAAAACAGATTTTCCTAATGCCAACAGTAGAGATGCACAATAAGTAAAGTTAGGATGTAAGTTTCATGAAACCTCTAGAAAGAAAATATGATTTAACTTTATAAACTGCATTGTATTTTGGTTTTGTAATAGTAAGAACAAAGCAATATTGCTTAATGCGTCTGTATCAATACAAGCTGAACGTGATGTATTTGAAACATACCTACAAGTAATTCCAGAAAGTGCTGAAAAGCTTATCTTTCTAGTGACAGAAAAATAATAATAATAATAAAAATAGTAATAATAATAATCATCATCATCAGTTGAAGCATCGGAGCCAGTTCCCAGGTTTTACTCTGGTTCCAAAATTCCCTCCCCATGAACGCAACAAGGTTAACTCCTGCTGCACAGTGGGCTGCAGTAGATTCACATATCCCCCAAAAGAAATCTCTCTACTTCTACTGAATGATAGAACCCATTACATGTGCAGCACACAGCAAATGGAAGCACAGAGGGAGGAAAAAAAATGAGATTTCACTTTTACTTAAGAGAGCAGAACTCGTCTTCCTCCTACTCTCACCCTCTGCATCATTAGTAAGGACTGTTTTTTTTCCCCCCCAACTGCAAAGTATTTCTCATACATCTTTCCGTAAGTTTAATGTTTTTTAACAGCCAACACCATGCATACAGGAATAGTTACTCCCCCTCACCCACTAAATAGTAAGACACTGACCAACAGTAATAACCATCACCTGTGACCTGTTACAGGAGGATTCATAACATCAAAATTAATTTTAAAGAGAGAAAGACGTTGGGAGAGGACAGCTGCTTCGCTCATGAGAGTTAAAAGGAATTTAAAGACAGAGCTTAGCATTACAGCAGACGTAAAGAGAAGAGGCAAAGAGGAGTGCGATGAAACATGACATCTGGGTAGGAAAACAAAAGGAGAGAGAGGTGATCGCGCTGTCTCGATTCTAAGAAACTGAGTTCACATTTCAATTGCTGCTATTAAACATCACCCATCTCCACCTGCCCCACACTAAGTTTCCAACGGAACCGAGGACCATCCGCAAAAGCAGCATTTTATTTCAAGATTCAATTGTTCCTTCAGGATATTACAGAGCCGGCCACCCAAAGAAAACGTGCCTGTTTTAATTTGAGTGAACAAGTGTCCAAGATTTGTGTTCACATTTATGACCGTGTATTCTCCATGGGACTGTGAGTACATCCTTAATGATGTTGAAGTAATAAAATATTAATTGCCACTTCCTCACCAATATTTAGCTCCTATATACAGCTTTGTTTTCCCCAAATGCTGTGTGAAATGCTGCTTGATTGAACAAAACCACATAGTAAACATGAATTGGAAAACAAATAAGCTAAAGGCATCAGACACTTTAGCCAGGAGTCCAACTCTGTTCTCATACCAGTCACTACCAAACACCTACTCCACAGAAACAAGATGTAGCAGATGAGATGCGTATTTTATGAAAAGTTCAAGACAGAATAACTCAAGGGATATTTAAGGGTTAAAAAAAATTAAAATAATTCTCACTTTGTTATTTCTTTCGATTACACATTTATTCCTTTTGCTCATCTCAAAAAGTGGAAGCTTCGACATTTTATTGTACTTTGTCACTTTGGCTTTCACATTAACCGGTATCATTCCAAGTTATTCAATTAGAGATGTAAAGAAGTGGCTATAAAATGGTAACCGGAAAAAAAACCAAACCCACGTTCATGATCCTACAGGGTTTTAGAAAATACTCATCCAATTTGATTACTTTCTCAGAAAACTTGTATCCCCTGACCTCTGACACTACAAATCCAGTGTGATAAACTTAAGTATTTCAGCATTACAAAATGACTTTGAAAAGAGGACAGACAGTATTTATAACTGTCAGTAGGTAACTGCCTCGACTGCTTTTGTAAAATCTGAGGGTTTTTTTGTTTGTCCGAAGACAATTTCAGGGAACACTGGTACAGAAGAATCTGAAGAAAGAGGAGATTGAATTGATATTAAGGCCAACTCTACCCCTACAGAAGACCAGCCCATCACACTAGTGGGTATTTTGTATTATACAAACTTTATTCCAACACCACAGGAAACCATAAATGTTGAAATAAGGTGCATTTAAAACAATAATTCTCAGAGTGAAAGGTAAGACTTATTAAAAAGCTAATATAGATTTGAGGAATAAGAGGTTTAAACACTTAATTTCCATCAGGAAATTAAGGACTAGGACAATTGTCCCATCTAAAACAACAGCATTAGCTGTAGGTGAGGCATGACAAAAAAATTAAAGTTAACTCGTAACAAGTTGAGCATAATTGGTTTAGACTCTTTAGGAAGAGGGAAAAAATTAAAAATATTCATTTGCTCCAGTTTCTACCTGCGTTTTCTTCCGTGCAACAGCTT